TTGGGCGGCATTTTGAAATTTGAGTGATAAGCTTTTCAGGCCCCGCCACATAAGACAATGAGGTTTGTGTGGCGAGGCGCATCACACGGACTCCCAACAAGAGGCGCATAAGAGGCGCAGAGTTCACGCGGCCCTCCATCACGGGAGAATCAATGCGTACTACTATTCGTCAAGACAAGAGAACTAAACATACTGCAGCAAGGAAAACGGGAGGCCGTCTCAGATGTATTAGATCAAGGATAGCGAGCTCAATCATAATCAAGAGTATATACTAGGGAAACATTGTCCGCATCGCGAGATGCTCAGGTCAGGCAGGCCACTGGCGATCTTGTATTGGCGCTCCTCTGGACTTTGAAGAATGTACATCCAGTGACTCTTTAGATTGTTCTCGTCTTTGAAGCGTATTGTCATCGCTGCCAGGGAAAGGCAGGTATGTCGGCGTCAAATCTTGCACCTTCGAGATTCATGGAAGGAGGAGGCTCGGAAAGAGGCGAATTTAATCAACCACAAGGATACATATTTCGTTGCATATTAGTATCCTAGGCAGGGTGCTGTTGACAAAGAGCCACAGCTGTCTTTGGTGGCGCAGCAGTACCCCGCCGTCTCAACAAAGAACCGCCACTCACAAAAACCCAAGCGCGTCCGGCACATGCATCAAGCTACGACATAATACATCGTCATCCCATGACTCTTACTCCCCCAGCGTCCAGCCGCCTCCTCGTTCCTCGGAACGTCCTCCATCGCCAATTCACTTGACACAGTTGGTTTGGCCGCAACGACGCAATAGCCGTACGTGCCGACATGGGCGCTGCCCGCAGCGTCCTCGTCGGCAGGGAAGGTAGCAATCGGATCCTCGGGGTTGAGTGTGAGTTGGGTGATGGTGGTGAACGTGTCCGACATTGCGTGGTGACGGCGTGGGGTGGGAATGGCAAAGCGAGGGTGCGTCGTGGCCGGTGCGTTGAGGACGTATGCGAATGCGGTTGCGTGCGATATAGCTTGTGCTCACCGAAACTGCACTCATTTTATACGTTTCCGCTGCACTTCATATACTGGCAGGACCAGCCCTCGACTCGAAAAAGGGTGGCGTTGTCTTGAGTGGATGGCCCGTCGCTCTCAGAGTCTAATTGTTTGTCGGCCAGTGAATAATGATGGACAGCCTGCGGATACAATGTTGTCCGGTCGACCGCCAGGACTCGCTCCGAACCTGGGCGAATGATACTAAGTATGACATGCCGACTCATGATTCACCTCGGAAGGACTTGAACAGACTCGAACCTGCGGTAAGTACGAGAATGGCTCGCCTGCTCAGCTGAGGTACATACGAGGTCTTATTCGTCGGACATCCATTACTGGGGTAGAAACAGAATCCTGGGCGATGGACAAAAAAGGAGTCAGTATCTGTACTGTCGGGAGGACTCCAGCACTCGGACAAGGTTAACAAAGACGGCGACCCGGGAAAAGGATGGTAATGGCTCAACTATGGACTAGAGGCACTGCCAGGACTCGAACCTGGGTTTCGAGAATAATCACACGTTCGGATTATCAGAATCTCGAGTGATAACCTCTACACTACAGCGCCATAACCAGCCATATCTGTGAGTCCTGCAGTGATACTGCGTTGGGATGGCTTATGTAGCAGGAGCGCCCACTCAGAAGGTACTTTCTCAGAAGGTGGGAGGACGAGTCGAACTTGGATTTCGAGAATGAATGTACAGTAGACAATGGAAGGCAGCACGGTGGAGCTCGTGGACATCAGTATGCGCAGGCGGTGAATCTAATGCATGAGCTGAGCACTAGTGCGACGGAAACGCAAGTCCATCCACCACGCGGAGTGACCCCAGGTTCCAGAATCCCAGCATTTGCAAAAGAGTCCATACATCAGTGCCGAAAATTCCGACCTAGGCCTCGTAGTAGTATATCGCGCATGGCGCATGGAAGCTTCCGAAGGCATGTGATAGAAAGAAAGAACTTCTTCAATGCATCCGAAGCCTGACGTTGGGATAGGGACGGATCGGATCGGGTGATCTGCGTGTGCAATCGAGGACATTGACACTGACAGTGTCCTCGAAGAAGAATCAAGATGGATTAGAAAGGAGCGGTGGGTGCGCCACAGGTCTTGAAGTTATGCGTAGGGGAAAGGGCGGAGTCCGACCGTGTTATTAGGATATTTACATCGGCTGCCATCGCCAAACACCGTGGTGATCACATCCGGAAATATTTCATCTGTAGTGGGCAATAGACACGCTCAGGCCACTTCTCCCGCCAACCCTTTGCAATTGTCGGCCCATCTTTCTTATCTCCCATATCATATCATATCATATCATATCGCGTTTCCCGACAATCGCATTTATTGCTCCAGCGTTCCATGCACTTAGCGCACCTCCCACATCTAATCTAACCAACAGCTTAGTTAGTAGCATGACACCCCCAGTCTCAACCGCCTCGACCCTCCCCACCCTCCCCCTCCTCCACCGCCTCCGCAACCTCTTCCTCCGCACCTTCCTCCGCTTCCTCCGTCTCTTCTCCCCACCCCTCTCCAAGCTCCTCACACGCATCTCCCTATCCCCCGGGCTCCCCGTTCCCCTTCCCTCGCATTCGCCATCGTACTGGCTCACCCCGCCCTCCCCCCTCGCGCAGCACAACGCCTCTTACCCAGGCTGGAGCGAGCGGTACGCGGATGTTGTGGTGATCGGGAGCGGGATCACGGGGACCAGCGTCGTTCGGACGCTTCTGGATTGGGATCGGGAGCAGGGAGGGGCGGGGGAGGGAGGGGAGACGCTGCAGGTGGTTATGCTCGAGGCGCGTGATACGTGTTCCGGTGCGACTGGTCGGTGAGTTCCCTGTTTCGTCTCCAATCCCATATATATCACATATACCGTATACGTACCTACTAAGCCCGGTCCCATAAATAGCAACGGTGGGCACGTAACCCCAATCCTGTACGCGGATTACCCTGGTCTGCGAGAGCAGCACGGGGCGCACATCGCGAAGCAGATCATGCGGTTCCGGCTCGCGCATCTACCGGCGTTCCTTGAGCTTGCGGCGTCCGACGGGCTGCGCGAGGGCGTGCTCGACACATCGCAGGCATCCGACGGCGAGGGTCTGTCGCAGGCCTCCGAAGATCTCTCGCTCCCCGAGTCAGCGTCGCAAGCGCACCGTCAATCTCTCCTCGACACATCCCAAGCCCGCTCCGTCGACACCTTCGACGTCTTCTTGGGTCCCAAACTCTTCCGGAACGCTTTATCCGCCCTCGAGGTATACCGGCGTGATATGGGTTCCGAGGCTGGGTGGTGGCGAATCTGGGATTTCGAGCGGGGTGCTGAGAAAGTTGAGGAACTACAGCTGTCGAAGAAGACGGTGGGCGCGCTGTCGACGAGGGCGGGTGCGGTGCAGCCGTATAGGCTCGTGACGGGTGTGTTGGAGCGGTTGGTGGAGGAGTATGACAAGTACGCGTTTCCTTCCCCTTTTGCCCCTCGCATTTTACTGACGCCCCCCACCTACCCCAGTTTCGAATTATTCACGCAAACACCGTGTACACACATTACCACCCCCTCCTCTTCTCCCCAAACCCAAACGCTCTACAAAGTCCACACCCCCAAAGGCCCGATCCTAACGCCACACATCGTGCATGCGACGAACGGGTGGGCGGCGCACCTGTTGCCGGGCATGCGCGGGAAGATCGTGCCTGCGCGCGGGACGATGAGTGCGCAGGTTGGGTGGAGGGGGCTTGGGGATGGGGTTGAGGTGAGGGACGAGAGCGGCAAGGGAAAGAGGGAGGCGGAGGGGCCAGCCGTCCGCCCGTTCGAATCCGCGTCTGGGACGAAACCAGTGCAAACAGAAAATGCAAAGTCCTGGGCGGGCACGCGCTCGTTCGTGCTCTTCCCTACGGACGAACCGCACGTGTATGATTACCTGACGCAGCAGCGCGTCGGGGCTCTGTCGGCCATTTCCTCAGACGCCCCCGCCTCCACGACCACACGCGGGCACTACCCCGACCCCGAGGGCGAATTCATGCTCGGCGGCGGCTTCGAGGGGCCTGCATTGCTACGGGAATTCGGGAATGCAGACGACACGACGTATGATGAGGAGACGGGGCGGTACCTTGGGGCTGCACTCATGGGGTATTTTGATACGGGGCGTGGGGCGAAGGAAGACGTTGGGGGGGCTAAGGGGGAGAAGAGGGACAAGGCGACAGTGAAAGCGACATGGGGTGGAATACTTGGTATCTCGGTGGACGGGAAACCGTGGGTTGGGCGTGTGCCGAGTTCGGTGTCGGGGCGTCCTGCTCCGGCTGCTGTGTCTGCAGAAGGAGCTGAGATGAAGAGGGCGAGAGGGCTGGCAGCGCCGGGGGAGTGGATGGCGGCTGGGTACACGGGGGAGGGGATGGTGCACGCGTGGATGAGCGGGCGTGCGCTGGCGTATATGGTGCTTGGACTGGATGGGGAGACGGCTGGGGGTGTGCCGGGCGAGAAGGCGGGTGAATGGAAGACTGAGAAGGAGAACGCTTCGAAGGAAAAGGAAGCTGAGAATAATCCCCCAGAAGTTGGAAGCGTGGATGTGGCATCGTGGCTCCCTTCAGTGTACAGGATCAGCGAGGAGCGTTGGCGGAGCGCGGAGATCGAGGACTTGTTTGCGGCGTTCGTTATGAGTTAGGAGCACAGTAGACAGAAAGGAGTCTAGTAACTACGCAATTCATTGCACGAAATAGACGTGAGGAGTCTTGGAAAGTTCTTGGAAAGTTCCATTGCAGTTCCATGGCAGTTCCATCGCAGTTCCATCGCAGTTCCATCTAGTTTCTTCGGTGACGGGCAGTATGGGACCAAGCGTTGCATGTTGCCACAATGGAGCACAGCCACGATCATTATTTGCCTCACCTTTGCCGCCCATTTTAATCGAGCATCCATCCATCTCCCATCTCTGGCTCCCTCCCTCCTTCCCCTCCGCTCATTATGTTCCCCAACTGCAGCTTCGCTTTGGTAGCCCTCGTGGTCGCCTCTTCCCTCGTTGCAGACGCCGCCTCTACGCCCCATTACGCCCGTCACGTCGTCCCCATCCGCCGCATCCACCACCAACAACTCACAAACCGCCTTTCACCCCGCGCATTTGACTCTCCCAACACCCCACCGGTCAAGCAGTCACGCAAACGCAGATCATGTCGTCCCCGCCAATCCCAGTCCCAGTCCATCACAGTCACTGCGACGTCCGAGGCACCCACCTCGACAACAAGCAAAGACTCACCACCGACGCCCAAGCCCACTCCCACCACCACCAAGGCTGCTGCTGCTCCTCCTCCTCCAACGACCACAAAGGCCAACAATGGCGGCAACGGTGGCAACGGTGGAAATGCCAAGCCCGCGAACTGGCCTAACCAGACCCAGGCAGGCGCAGCGCCCACCGCAACACGCACCTCACCGGCGGACCCGTACCTCAACGAGCTCTCCAAGTCGTACAACAACGCCAATAATCCCCTGTACAACACCGTGCACAAAGGCGACATGACGTACTAGTGCGTATGCCTTCTTTTTTTTCCGTCGCTTAAAATTTTTGAGTTGACGTTTGTCTCCTCGGTCCCTGATCATGCTATTTTTGTTTTTGTTTTTTTCTGCAGTGGACAGGGTTTGGGCGCATGCGGAGATACATACGACGACAACTCGTTCACAGCTGCCGTCTCACAGCTCCTCTACGATGCCTGGCCAGGCGCAACCGCCGAGACGAACCGGTACGTCCTCCCTCCCCTTACCTTTACCCCACACTAACACCCTCCCAGCAACCCCATCTGCGGCCCCTTCGTCCCCGGCCGTCGCACTCTCTCCGACTCCGGGCGCTTCATCACCGCCGTCCCCGGCCAATCCTTCGTAAACGTCGGCGGCGACGGGCTATTGAACTGCGACCCCTCCCCGTCCGTACAATGTCACATTCCCTTAACCGCAACGGTGCGTCATGGCGGAAAGAGCATCGTGGTGAAGATCGTCGATCGGTGCGAGGGGTGTAAACCGGGCGATATTGATTTGACGCCGGCGGCGTTTGCTGCACTCGCGGATCCTGCGTTGGGGAGGACGGATGTGGAGTGGGAGTTTAATAAGTATTAGAGGGGGTTGTGGGGATGGTGGTGCCCCTGAGTCGCTCGATGCGATGGGGCGATAGAGTGACCCTCCGAGAGGCTTGGCCCTCGTGTTTGTGTCGTGTTTCCCTTCCTCTCTTTCTCTCTCTCTCCCTCTCATGTTTTCCCCTTGTTATCCCCTTTCACACTTCGGCTTGCCCAAGGTTGTACTAGAGTCTGGCCAGCCCAGCCGGTTTATCTATTCACGCTAAGTTATTCGTTCTCCACCTTCCGCTTCTCCCTTGTATGTACATCTTTCCCCTTCCCCCTTTTATTTTTCATCCTCTCACTCTTGGCGGTGTACTGGTACACCCCCAACGCTTCACGACCGTCACCTGTAGAATCACATAGGCGTTACCGCGATGTTCTTATACGTATCACATGGAATGGAATTCCGACGTCAAATAGCTGTGCGCGTCACTCTAAAAATAGACACCTCTTCCCCTTCTCCCCTCTTCCCCCAACACGGCGCTGTAGTGTAGAGGTTATCACTCGAGATTCTGATATTAATGAAAACGTAAGATCGTTCTCGAAACCCAGGTTCGAGTCCTGGCAGTGCCTGTCTACCATCTTCTGGACTTTTTCCCCCTGTGCCAGGCTGTGGCCGTGCGCAAAGAGTCTAAACTTGCATCCGGACGTCAACCATGTCTTCGTGACTAGCAAGGAGCGTCTGACAGCGACTCGTCACGTCTTGCGCGGCGCACACAGATTTCGCGCCCTGTGGCCGCCTCGATTCGATTGCGACGCCCTCGGCGACGTTTATCTATGGCACTGGACGAATCCACAAATTCATATCAGATGTTTACCAACTCCCCTTCGCAGTTGAAGGCACGGACTCGCGGACCGGCATCCCTTGTTCACGAATCCA